CCCCCTAAAGGCAGGTCTCCTTCTCTGGAAGGCATTTTGGAGGAGGTAGTAGGGGCAGGTGGCTCAGCTTCTTCTGTAGTTGTGCTGCTGCCTGGTGATGAGAGGGATAAGGCAGGATCCCCATCTGCAACCCAGAAGTGGGATCATTTTGAGGTAGCAGATGATCCCAGGTACTCTACCTGCCAGCACTGCCAAAGGCAGATCAACCAGGGCAAGGGGGTGAAACACTTCACTGCCACAGGGATGCTGCTGCATCTCAGGAGGCAGCACCCCCTTGTCCTTGTTCTTTCTCAGCCTGGCACCAGTGGGAGCATGCCCAAAAAAGAAGTCCCCTTCTAATTCCAAGGCCCCTGTCCCCAAGAAGCAGAGGCAGACTACCCTGAACTACTGAGGAAAGTCAGAGACAAAGAGGGGCGCACATTGTAGTTGAGTGAGGTTACCTAGAGCACTGGGGAGATGGTTGCTCTGGAGGGCTAGCCCTTCTCCTCCATTGAGCGTCCAGGGTTCAGGCGGCTCATGGCCCCATTGTACCAAGTGCACCACCTTTAGCAGGATGGTGGTGCCCTCCCTTATGAGGCATGCAGGGAGTACTTGAGGGAGGAGCTGTGCAAGGTAGGGCTGCAGGTAGCCTTGCACTTCACTTCAGACATCTGGAGTAGCCAGGGTGAAGACCATGCCTACCTCTTCCCTCACAGGGCACTGGTGCAATCAGTCAGGGCACCGGTGGGCTCTCCTTCAAGCCGAGGTGATGGATGAGTCCCACATGGCAAGGGAGATCATGGTGGCCATGAACCACATGGTGCTGGGGTGACACATTGGGCAAGGCAAGCTCACCCACGGCCCCATTGTCAGTGACCACAAAACCAATATGGTCAAGGTGGTGCGTGAAGTCAACTTTGTTGGCATCCGCTGTGTGGTACATAAGTTTCATCTCATAGTCAGGGATGCCTTGGAGGGGGATGGGGCTCCTGGTGACGGCGCCATCACTACCAGCCAGCTTATTTTGAAATGCAGGAAGGTGGCGGCCTACTTCTATCAGAGCATCAAGGAGAGGAAGATGCTGTGGGACAAACAGGCAGAGCTGAGCACCCCACAGCACTAAATCATGCAGGATGTAGAGACTTGGTGTAACTCCACATACCTGATGCTGGAAAGGCTGGTGGAGCAACAGAAGGACATCCATGAGATGGGTTTGCTCGGGGAGATTGGGATCAGTGCCCCCCTTAACAGAGCTGAGTGGGATACCATCTCCTAGATCTTGGTGGTCCTCAAGCCCTTCCTTGAGGCCACCAAAAGCCTCAGCACTGGTGATGCCCTCCTTAGCCAAGTGATCCCCATAGTGAAGGAGCTTGAGAATGAAATGGAGTAGTTCTAGGGATCGATGTTCCTGGCTAGGACAAGCCGTTTTCGCCAGAGATGCAGGCACTGGTGAAGCAGCTAAAGGAGGGAGTCAAAAAATGGCTGGATCCATTGTATAGTTCACGTGCTGGCAGGCACGTGCGACCCACGGTTGAAGGGGAGTGTCTGCAGCAGTAAAACCCTCAGTCGCTGGATGGAAGTGCTGATGAACAGAGTCAGGGAGGCAGAACGGCAGAGGTGGGGGGACCTAGAAAAGGGGGATCCACTTTCCTATTCCAGCACTCCAACCACAAGCCAATCTCTTCCACCACAGCTACTGCTAATATGGGCCAAGGGCATGGCTTCAGTCTTGGGGTCCAGAGGCACCAGACCCCACCATCAGGCAGCTAGCGTGGAGGCCTTGGTGGCTACCTATCTTGCCGAGGACATGGAGCCACTGCACTGCGACCCTTTGGCCTATTTGACAACCCGCAGCCAGGTGTGGCAGGATCTGGCCACGGTTGCCCAGGAACACATGTCCTGTCCAGCAACCAGTGTTCCAAGCAAGAGGGTGTTCAGCATTGCTGGGAATGTTGTGACATCCCACCGCACCTCTTTGGATCCTGGTTTGGTGGAGCAGCTGGTGTTCCTAAAGGTGAACCTCCCGCTGCTGGGGTTCCCCCAAGCTCCACGTGCAGCTAGAGTGCGTGTCACTCTCCTCACTCTGCTCCTATTTGCTTTTTTTATTTGCTTTCAGAACCTTGAGGTGCACTTTCACAGAAACCCCTGCTCCTATCTCCTTGAAACTTGACAGGCTTCATGCCCTCAGAAGAGGATACCATCCTTGCTGTTTTCATCTGGATCTGCCAAAAAAATGACAGTTATAGGTATTTTAGTAATTCCCCATGATAGTCTATGGTCAGATCTCTGAATCGGCACCGAATCGACTGAATCAAATCACTGTCCCTCTGAATCGGCCAAATCCAAAGCAAATACTTGCTGCTTTGCACAGGCCTAGTAATACATGAGCATAGGACAGGGGTGGGCAATTATTTGGTCCTGAGGGCCACATAGGGAGTTTTGACAAGCAGTTGCGGGCCAGCCCTCTCCCCACAACATCTCACCAAAGCTCCCTGTGGGAATTTGGGTGGGCAGAAAGCAGTGCTTGGCAGTGGGACAGGCATAATCAGCTCCCTGCCTGCCCTTCCCTGTGAGGAGTGGCGGGGGGCACATGCACATGTTGTGGGAGCGGCTGCCTCGGAGCCAGCCAGGGATCAGGGGAGGGATGGAGAGGCAAGGGACATGTAAAGCAGAGTTCGCCCTGATTGCTGACCCTGGAAGTGCCAGCGGCGCTTCTCTCAGTGGCCCCAGTCCCAGACTGAGGGCCAATCTTGGGGGGGGGGGACAGGACACATGCCCCCCATGTCCTCCCTATGTGTCACCTATGCCTCTCCCACAGTGTTCTGCATGGGGCTGAGTCCCCCCCCGGGGGCAGCCTGTGCCATGCTCCTGCCCACAGTTGTCAGTCCCGGCCCTGGCTCTGGCCAGCACGCAGCTTTTGGCAGGGCTGTTCCCAGTGTGGCTGCAGCCAGCTGGGTTCACATTGTCACTTGAAGCTGAGGGGTAGCTGAGCAGTACCTGGCTGACTGTCGTCACACTGGGAATAGTCCCACCCAAAGCTGTGAGCACTGGCCGGGGCCCAGGATGGTAGGACTGTTTTGCTTCCCTTGCCTCCAGCTGCGGACCTGTGGGCAGGTGGAGTGGGTGGAAGGCAGCTGGGAGCTAAAGCTGGGCAGGAGTCGACCGATTGAAGCTTCCTGCCCGCCCACCCAGAGCAAAATGGCAAGGGGAGCAGAATAGCCCCACTGGCCTGGGCCCCAGGCAGCATGCACAGGTTCCGGTGGGGCTGTTCCTAGTGCAGCTGCACCTGGCCAGGTGCTGATCTGCTCTCCTCGCCTCCAGCAGTGGTTCCTCCTGCACCTGCCCCTGCTGCACTGCTTTGGGCAGGTGATCGGGGGGGAGCTTCAGCCTGGCAGCTCCTGCTGGAGGTGAGGAAAGCGGAGCAGCATCTGACTGGCTGCAGCCACACAGGGAACAGACCTGCCAGAAGTTGTGCACTGGCTGGGACCCAGGCCAGCAGGAGAGCGGTGAGGGTTGCTCCAGCAGGAGCAGGGTTGGGGGCTCGGCCCCATGTGAAGCACTGTGTGGGGAGCCATGGGCCAGATCCAGCCAGTTGGTGTGCCAGTTCTGGCCCGTGGGCTGTATTTTTACCCACCCCTGGCATAAGATAAGAAGTCACTGTCTCAGATTGAAGCAAGGGAGTTTCAGATTGGACATAAGGCCTGAAACTTAGTATCCATACAGTATCCATAACTGTAAGGATACTAAGCACTGGAACGTATTGCTTAGAGAAGTTGTGCAGTCTCCCTCACTGGACATTTTGAAGAATAAATTGGACAAACCTCTGTCGTAAATGGTTGATCTTGGCTTGGAGTAGGAGGTGGAATAAGTGAGCTCTTGGGATGCCCCATAGATGCACTATTTTCTATGATTCTGTGAATATAAGGTCATGCATTTGGGAAGTGCTAATTCCAACTACATCTGTTATGTTGGAAGATATTTGAAAATGAATAATTCAAAAGGATTAAGTAGTATCAGGCTGGAAATGAAAAATGTGCTCATAGTGACTTATTACAGCTATAAAAGCCAAAGTACTCTTGTCTGGGCCAGCTGTGCACAAGTGGAATGGCTTAGACATTAGATGCTACTGCTGTGAAATTGCATTGTTCTGCCAATGGCATTAACAAATATATTGACAAGAAAGGTAAAGTTAGAAAAGAACAAAATTGAAGTACATTTTCACGTTAGGTAAATGTGGGGAGCTCGTCTAAATGGTACTTAACAGGCAAATGTAGGCCTACAAATATTTGAAGAATGTGAAAACACCTCAGAAAGAAAACGGAAAGGGGAATATAACTGGAGAAAACTGAAAGTAACAGAATGATGAAGAAAGGGAGAAGTTATAAATGAAAGAGGTGTGTACCTCCTATGGAAGAAAGTGGCAGCCATTAGGGCTGTGCCAAGCTTCGGTCACTGATTCGATTTAGCAGAGATTCGACCTGATTTGGTGGTCAAATCTCTGAATCCAAATTGAATCAGGAGACCCTTTAATCTCTCCGAATCAAATCGGAACCCTCCAAATCAATTTGGAGAGGTTCTGAAAGATTCGACGATTCAGACATCAACACAGCTTTAAATGTTTTTTCTGCATACCTCAAGGTACCAGGCGGCTCATCAGCACTGCGATTGTGGGGTGGATGTAGCATGCCATGCAGCTGCCAAGTCACTGAGTGTGACTGCTCCAGACTCATGCTGACACTAACACTGATCACTGTATGGCTCAGTGTAACATGTAACAAGGCCCTCAGGTTGTTCTGGAGCTGGACAACACTACTGAAACTATTTTCTAGCCTTACATTTTTGAAAGGACAGCTTCTTGAATAGTATTGAATATAATAGGAACACGGGAGATCACATGTACAGACTTCTCAGAATAAGGTAAATATATGAATTTAAGAATAGTTTAGCTCTTTATTGACTACCTAGGTTCGGTGTTTATGATAAGTGCCTTGATTATCTGTTTTTATCTTTAATTGTTACAGGTGCCTTTGCTTGCAAGATGGTGCCATTTGTTCAATCCACCGCAATCGTTACTGAGATTCTTACAATGACCTGCATTGCTGTGGAAAGGCATCAGGGAATTGTGCATCCTTTAAAAATGAAATGGCAGTACACAAATAGAAGAGCTTTCACAATGCTTGGTAAGGTCAAGCTCCAATATTCCCGAGGTATTCATTTATATAATGATATGTGTAACTGGTACGAAGTCCTGATATTTACAGTACTACAGAGGTTGTATTGCTGCTGAGTCTAATAATGTTCTATAATGTGACTCACACATACTGTGCATATTTTCCAGTTTCTAGAGAGATTCTTTTCCAAATCTTGTTAAATTGGACTGATAGGTTTCCTTGTTGTCCTAGTTTTTCTATCTTACCTGTATTTTGAAAATTAACCCTATCATAAATCTCGATCTGCTTTCCTTTTGCTGTTTCTAGTACTGGGTAGTATTAGCCAACATAAACCAAAGTGAGTGTCCCTGCTGATATACTGCATATGTGTAGCTAATTAAGACTTGATTTCTAATCCAAAATACTATATTTGTTTGCATACAATGTGCCCCCAAATATTTTTGAAGGCAGAATACAGATTTTTTTCCCCTCAGAATCATGGCTGATTTTGTGACAAGTCTTCCTGGGAACACAGTGTCCAGGAAATACAGCATCCCTGCTACCAGGTATGGCAGGAAGGTCTGTTTTTTTGCTGTCTACCCCAGACTACCTCTTGTGATGCCACACTTCCCAAACACTGTTCCCAGGAGGACTTTGTCACACAAGGTTAACCCCTCCCCCCACCGACTTTTACAAGGGCAGTAGCAAGTGTGTTCATTCTTTACTGTAAGTAGTTCTTTATATAAAATTCCTGCAAATCAAATGTTGTTTTCACATCATAAGCTTTATGAGGATACTGCCAGCAGCTCACTTGCTACTGCAAACACAAGCTACAGTGTTCAGCCAGTAGATATGCCTGCAAGAGAGTTAACACAGGACTCTTCCCATTTTGCTTCCTGAGTCAGACACCAGTGTCAGCATTCTTGGCAGCTGCATGGCATGCCCAGTGTTTCCAGATGCGTTCATGGGTGGATCCAGGATTTTGTAAAGGGGGGTGCAGGTCAAGGAATCAGCTTCCTGGGGGAGGCAGAACATACCGTGGGAACAGCAACCAGGAACCTTTCTTAAGTTCCCAAATAAGGTAAGAACTCTGTGGATCTTTCCCCCTTCTTCCCCACCCCATTCCCTTTGCTCTCAGCACCCGCTCCCCCCCTCCCCCTCTCCCCACCTTCCAGTGGTAAATTTTCCACCCCCTTTCTGCCCACCACTGCCACTGTCCCCAGCTGATGAAGGGAGATCCAGAGCTGCTCTTGCCGCACTCCAGTCAGGCTACATGGGAGCCAGGAACATCACTGGTAGTGCTGGACAGGTCCCCCCACTCATTTAGCCCACTTCCAGGATGGTGGGGAACATCTGAGGGGACTGGTCAGGGAGGAGGAACCTACCCACTGTAGTCACAACTGCTGCTGCCATCCCCAGTTTAGCCTGGGTGCCTGTGCAGCCCAGCTGGAGTGGCTGTGGAGCTCCTTTGTTCCTGCTTCAGCCAGGGACGGTGGTGGTGTGGGCAGAGAGGAGCGGAGAAGACTGCTGGTGAGCACAGAGGGGAAGGAGAGGAATACTTACCTGCTTTGGGGACTTAAAAATGGCTGTGGCTACTGCTTCTGTAGTATGACCCAAAAGGTGGGAGGGAATGCAATTATGTCAGTACACCCCCTTTGGATCCGCCCCTGGGTATGCTTTTTTTCCAGTGAAGAAAACAACTTCCCCACCAAAGACATGCACCCTAATTTGGCGGGGGGGGGGGGTCATTTTTGGGGGAAAATGTTTGCTTGGTATGTGAGAAAATATGGTATGTTTTACTTGACTAGGTTTCAACTAGACTTTTTTGATAATTTTATTATATCTATTTTCTTTCTTTTGTGGTGATCTAGAAGAGAAATCCAAAACCTACCATCCCAGGTGAAGAAGTATAAGCACTACCAAGGCAATGTCCATTATTGATATATGCCATGCAAGAGAGAACACTGGGCAATAATACTCTTGCAGGTCAAGGGAAAGATGTTTGTGCATCAAAAATAGCCTACCTTTAAATTGAAGCACACTGAGAGTTAAAGGAATGAAATACCTGAAAAAGGGGAAAGGTAGCTTTTATGTGCAATACCGACTGTCCACAAATCATTTGACTTTACATTTAGTGTTCACTTTGCAGTATGAATATTCCAAATCACCTTTTTTGCCAATAGAAATGGTTAAAGGGTTAAACTCATTCATGTTCACTTCCCTATTCTACTATGTATTTAAAAGGCTTTGCTGTTTTTTTTTGTTTGTTTACAGGCATAGTCTGGTTGTTGGCAGCTATTGTTGGGTCACCTATGTGGCATGTGCAGCAACTCGAGGTAGGATGCTTTCAATGGCATTTCCAATTTAAGCCTAGATCTTGCAGGGTCTTACTGAAGGGGATAGTAACAGGACTGAATAAATCCTAAAGACTTGTGAGGAGTGATTCCTAAAATGGAGGTAACAGAAACTAGTCATAAACTGGCTCAGTAGTAGACTTTGTATCTTGGTATCAAGTGGTGTCATTGTTAAAGGAAAAAAATAGAGGTACCATTTTAATTCAATCACAAACAATATACTGTGGGTAGCTTTTTTTTTTTTTTTTTTTTTTTATAAATTGGAGACCTACTCTGGGGTGTGGGAAGGATTTATGCAGTCTGGGTTGTTTTGTATTGCCACACACTTATGACTGGAGTTACACAGACAACCAGTGTAACCCACTGATGAGGAAGTGTTGCAGGTCTCCACTGGAGCCTGATCCAGAGAAGATACAGGTATGCATCATGCAGAATAGCTTGACTTCTTAGCTCAAGCTCCACCTCGTGTGTCTAGTTATGGAGGTCATTTTTTCAGTTTGTTGCACTGGTTAAGAACAACACTATCCTATCAGCATAGTCTTATAGGTATTGATCAAATATGGTTGTGGCTAGGACAGTACATTGCTTCAGCACATGATCTCGGCAGCTGTTTCCTAAAGAAATCAAAATTGCTGTCCTTGACCTAAACAATGTGCAGCGGTGCCATTCAAAACATCTGCTGCACTCCCTGTGTCAGCCAGCATGAATCTAACCCTTTACACAGAAATTAATTAGAAGAATCATCTCACTTGAAAGATCCCTAAATGGAATTTTGATCATATTAATGGCAAGTAGCATTTGAATATGCCAGTTCTTCAAAAGTAGGGTAACAGGAACTCATTTCCACTTAAATTACTGCAGGTTAAATATGATTTCCTATATGAAAAAGAGTATGTTTGCTGCTTAGAAGAGTGGACCAGCCCTGTTCATCAGAAGATATATACCACCTTCATTCTTGTTATACTGTTTCTCCTTCCACTGATGCTGATGCTCCTCTTGTACAGTAAGATTGGTTATGAACTCTGGATCAAGAAACGAGTGGGAGATGCTTCAGTTCTTCAAACCATTCATGGAAACGAAATGTCTAAAATATCAAGGTTTGTAGAGTAAGACATCCAGTTAAAACTCATCCTTGAAAAGCATACTTTTACAGGAACAGTAGGCAGGTATGGTTTCCTTCAGAGGCCACCAGGCTGAGGTATGAAATAAAAAGAGGCATGGCATAGATTTGCAACAGGTGATTAGTGATTTCATAATTGTGTGCCCCATTTGAGACAAGTTAAAGGGCTCTGTTTTTTCAAAACTGACCTTTTAATGAATGCCATGTTGGGCACCCCAAAAAAATCATTGCTTTTGAAGATTAAAGACCATGAGCTGAGAAAATGGAAAAGTAGCATTGTGTCTTCTTGCATACAACATGCACCCATTTCCCAAAAAATGCAACTGGAGTGGGAGAAATACAGTAAGACCATGTTCTTCCTCTGACCTGGTGAAACTGAAAGTAAAATCTGCATTGATCTATAGCAGAGGTTGTAAACCGGGGCTACTTGAGAAGGCCCTAGGGGGCATGTGCTGCCGGGGATGGAGCGCCACCATGCAGCATCCCACGCAGGCACCACCCAACTGACTGGACGTGGGGGCCAGGGGAAGTTTGCATGCAGTGCCTGCCACAGCTCGGATTTGGCCACGCACTAGCCCCACCCCCCCGCTTGGCCTCTGGCTGTGCGCCACCCCTTGCTAACCCCGCACTTGGTATCCAGTCACCAGGGGTACACTGACTCAAAAAGGTTGAAAACCCCTGATCTATAGGAATCTACAAGGAGCAGAACAGTGGGCAGTTTGGTTCCCTAGCTGCTGCTGCTCTGTCAGTTACTTACTACAAGTAAAGATCTTCTTTTCTTCATTCTGTCTTTTAAAAACAAAGTGCATATTATATTCTGGGGCATGTTGTATATGAGAGAGCATGGTATGTTGTTTTCCTAAGTCAGACTGGGACCAACTGAATGGAGTTCCCTTTTGAATCTTCTTCAGTTATGATCAATAAAATCAAAAATATGTTATGGGAAGTTCTTTATTTAATCTGTGGCCATGACCATGGTTTTTAAATTGGCCTTTTAGAAATAAGAGTAGCATATTAAAATTTTAAAAATGGCATTAAGTTGATATGTTTTAACTTACAGGACTCTCTAAAGATTTTCTAAATGTCCTTCATGTCACTTTGCCACTTGTGACCATTGAGATGGAAACTTTGTTTGAAATGTAATTAAAATGAATGATTAAAACCTGATAACTAGTTTATTTGCATTTTTTTTGTTATTTAGTGTTACAATTAAACCACCTTAAATACTGCATTGCGCTTTGCCTTTAATTTGTCTAGTTTGTTTAATTGTTTTCTGTTGTGAGGCATCTTCTACCACAGTGTTTCTGAACCTTCTTCACCCCAAGGCACATTTACAATAATAAAAAAAAATTCCACAGCACACCTTTTAAGGCATTCCCCATCCTTGTACCTATTATAACTCATTGCCCTGGCAAAATTCCATGGCACAACTTTTAATTTCTGATGGCATACTTCTGTGCTGCAGCACAGTGTTTGGGAAACACTATTCTACCAAATATGTCCATAGAAAATGAGAGTAGCATATGAAATATTGAATCCAAAGAGAGTAATAAATCAGCAGCTCAAAAAAAGTTTGCTTAGACAACCAGTACTAAAACATATGTAAGGGGATAGTGATGATAAGAAAGAGTTGCAAAACTTTGTATAATAGTAGAGTTATGATACACCCCAGGGAATTATGTAGAGGTGCACTGATATATCGGTGCCATATTGGATCAGCACCGATTAAAGGAAAATTAACATTATTAGCTTATTTTGGCTGGTGTAGCCGATAATGTACCAATTAATACAATATGCCTTCTGGATGCCACGTTCATGTGTGCAGCTGCACACATGCACATGGCCAGGAGTACAGCCAGGCAGAGAGCAGTGCCCTGCAGGTAAATCTGTTGAGGAGAAGAGGCATGGGGAAGGGAAGAAGCATGGATCAAGGCCCCCCATGGTGAGAGAGGGAGTTGGGCTGGGGGTGCTACCCAGCCAGGGCAGTGAATGGGACCCTGGGGCCAGGGAAGAGAGTGGGACACAGTGGTAGGCGGCTTGTCCAGGGAAGGTGGGGGTGGGGGGTGTCTCCCTGCTGCTGCACACATCCCCAGGTGAGGCATGGAGGGTATGTGGCCCCCCAGATTTGTGCACAGGGGAAGGGTGGAGGTGGGCTGCCCACTGCCCACTTGGGGCTCTCTGCCTGGCTGCCTTTGCCCCAGGAGCTGCATGCTGGCCATGCGTCCCCTGCCTGTCCAGGAGCAATGGGGGTGGTGAGTTAAAATAAATAGAAGGTTCTAGGCGAGAGGCTGCCCTCTTAATGCCATAATACTCAGGGTGTAATACATGACTTCAACCGCTCCTATATCATGTCCCAAGCCTCGCAGGTGTTATACGACTATTTTACACTTCTGCACCCCCCTGGTGCTATGACTCTCTGTGCCCCTGTAGCTGCCCCCCTCCCCTTCCCCCGCAGTGCCCCTCTCTTTCTGTGCCTGACATTGGGCTGTACCCAAATCATGTGCTTTTCTCTAGGCACTAATGAGGCCTCCAAACCTCCCCAGATAGCCTCATCCCAGTCCTCTGGTGCAAACAGTAACAAAAGTGTATGTCCCTGGTCAATAACTCAAACACTAGAAATGCCAACAATGCTATATGCCCATTTTATGGGAACAAGCTTCCATCCTCAGGGTAACAGGCCCCTAGCCCTAGGTACCCGGGGGACTCCCTGGAGTCTTCCAGTACTTGGATAGTAAAGCAGGCAGCACCAGGTTTCAGGTAGCTTCGTCCAGCAGAAGCTCCTTGGCAGTTGCCAAAGAGAGAATAACTGTGCAATCCTCAGCCCTGAGTTTATATGCCTCCCTCTGGTCATGTGATGCCGGCAGGTGCTTCCCAATTATCCCCATAGGCTGTTACCCCAGCAACCCGCAGCTATGGTGCTCTGTTTAGCCAGCAGAGCTCCCTGGTCAGGCTGCTTCATCCTTAAAGGAGCAGGCACATCTTAGTGCCCTGCTACACGGTCAATATGACTGATGAATAATCAGCTACTGGTATCAACCAAGAAAATCTTTATCAGTGCACCCTGAGAATTATGTGCAAAAACATTCAAAATTATGCATAATTACTTTGATTTGTTTTACAAATTAAACTAAATGTAACACTATTTCAACCTTCTTTAGAAAAATATGCAGGTACTTGTGTGGGGGGTTGTTGTGAGGGTGTGGGGGGTATGTGGGTGGGTGTGGATATGGGAGTGTATGGGGGGAGTGTGTAGGGTTTGTGGGAGGATTGTGTGGGGGATGTGGATGTATGTGTGGGGTCTGTGGGTGGATGTGGATATGGGACTGTGCGGGGCTTGTGGAAGGGGAGCGGTTCTCTCTGCCACATGCCCCTCTGTGCACTGCCCCTGTCCACCACACCCCACCCCACTCCAGAATAGCCCCTGCTGCCACATATCCTCCCTACCATGCATAGCCCCCTGGCCCTCTGGGATCTCCTGGCTGCAGCAGGCAGAGCCCCACAGCAGTGCATGACTCTGGCAAGTCCCAGGGGCTGCATGTAGCCAGCCCAGCCCAGGGCTGCTAGCACATGCCTTCAGGCCAGACCGGGCTGGCTCCGTGTCAGCATGTGAGGCTCGCAGCACTACAGACAGGAGCCACATGCAGCCCCCAGGATTTGCTGGAGCTACGTGCCACCAGGGACTGTGCCCTGGCCAGGAGGGCCCTGAGGGACCACTGTCTGCTGCTGCCATGGCAGGGGCCATGCACCACGGGGTGGAGGGTGTAGCAGGGGGCCTACATCCACCCGCAAAACCCACACACACCCCCATGCCTACCTCCCCTCTTGCAGACAGGAGCTCCTGTTCCCACTTACCAGCTGTACCCTGAGGAATTATGAAATATTATGTGATTATGCACAGTTATACATTTTACATGCAAAATTACGTGGGTGCATAATTGCATTATTCCCTGGGGTATATTATATTTTCTAATTGCACACTACAACTACAAGTGTTAAGAACAAACTTTTAAATTATGCATCAGATACATATCTATGCTACTGTTTTTATTTCAAGAGGAGTTTGGGCAGCTTAGCATGTGTAAAAAATCCTAGTAAATACATATTTGCATCTTTTAGCCGTTTGGATAATTAAAGAATCTGACCCACAGACCAGTCAGAAGTTCATTCAAAGTTATTCAGATCAAACTATTTTTGTATAATTTCAGGAAAAAGAAGAGAGCAGTTGTTATGATGGTGGTGGTGGTGGTTTTGTTTGCTGTCTGCTGGGCTCCTTTCCATGTAATTCACATGATGATGGAATACAGTGAGTATCTGGCACTCTTCTACAGATGAAGCTGGTATTTTGAATAGGTCTATTTCTTTTTACTTATAGAATCACTTGTATTAATTCTGAAGTATTAGTACTACTGTACCATGTAATATAAAGTACAGTCTGTCAATTAGGATGTTTTTAGATCTTGGATGATAAATCCTCTCAGAGGTACACATGCACAGTAGATGATTGGGCTGGGGCAATCCAATTCATAGAGAAACACACCTGCATCTTTCACTAAAAATAGATGTATATATCACAAGACTTTTCTGGTATAGTAAGAGGAATAAATCTTGTACCCAAGAAGTATGGAGATGATCAGTGTCTTTATCAGATTGTATTGTTTCTTTTCATCCACACCTTATGTATGAAGGAAAATGGCTGTTAGGGTTTTTGTAATCCTGAGTAAAAGGATTGCAAGTTTTCTGAGGAAAGGACCATTTTCTATTCTGTATTTGTATAGCACTTAGCACAGTGATATCCTAGTTCTGGTTGGAGTTCCTAGGCATCAGAAGAATACACCCAGGGCTCTAGTAAAAATGGTGAACACAGCTCCCTGGATTCCATTTTATCACTCCCTGTCATGCCACAAAGTTCATGAAAGGTCAGCATTTTCATGTTGGAAGGTAAATGTCATTTTTCTGTCTGATCTATAAAAATAAAATACTATTAATTTTATTGATTTTATTTTACACTTATTTTAATTTGAATCCTATACAGGCTATCATGCTTCTTAGATTTAAGTTGCTAAGGAGTTTAGTTTCTCAGTCAACATGATTTTGATGAGACAAAGGATAGATTTATGGCTAAAGGAAAAATGTCTTATATATAATTATCTCTTATATGTGACACGCAATTCACTTAAACACATTTTTTCTTTTTCCATTGGCAGTTTTGCAGAAATGCCAGCTAAGGCTTAATTTCTTTGCTGTGTTAGCCCTGTGTTCCTTGTTCCAGTATTTTGTTACCCGAGTTCTTGAATGAAAAACGTGAAGGGTTCAAAATCCTCTGGGTGGAAATCTTGGAGACATGAGACAGCAAGCATATTACTTTTTGATGGAACACACAAATCATGTTGAGTGGTTCAAAAACACTTTGATCTTTTTCTTATATATGAAATACAGTGCTATGGAAATGGTACCATGGCTAAATAATGTAAAACTCTCTTTGGAGATGCCCCATGGGCCCCTACTGCATGTTCACATGGAATCATGAATGGCACATGCCCCCGGCGGCTGTGGGGGCACGGCTGCACTAGCGGCAGTGAGAGCACGGTGGCAGCTGTAAGTGCGGAGCTCCCGCAGACACCGCCGGCACTGTCAGCAGGGTTGGGGGGAGGGAGGGAGGGAGCGTGGCAAGCACTGACCAGGGGTCGCCCCTGTATAGAATCAGAATTATTTCAAACCTATCTCTTTTCCCTCTATAATTCTGAATAATTGGGTGTGTCTGTGTAATCATTTGTACCTCTTTCCCAACTTCTCACCTGCTTTGATTAAAATCATGCATCTTCTAAAAGCACGTGCTGTCTCTTGAAATACCTTTCATCTAGACCAGGATTGTCCACTTTCTGGGCAGCAGGGCTCTGCACACCCTGCAGTCCACAGACCCCTGGGCTGCACACTGCACAGGTTGCACACCATGGGGATAGCCTTCCTGTTTTCCTCCACTATCATGCAGGCAGCCTGTTTCCTGCTCCGCACTGTGTCCAGGCCAGCTCTACTGGCCGCGCATGCAACCAGGCTCTACTCCCCCGGCTGCAGACAGAGCATGGGCAACACAAACCCTTCCCTGGACCACTTCTCACTACTGCCGGAGCCTTAAGAGTTGAGCAGGAAGCAGAAGCTGGGAGAGAGAGAAGGGGAGCCCAGACTCCTGCCAGCTGCCATAGCAGCAGGGGCAATGGGAGGAGTGATGGCCAGGCAGGGACTTGTGAGCCACCAGTTGGACAGGCCTGATTCAGGCCAGTATGCATAATGTTGCTTGTGAGGGTACGGACAAGGTGGACCAGGGTAGGCTGGCTGGGGTATAGGAAGAACATGGATGGAAAGAGACAAGATGTGCAAGAGCAGGAAGTGGAAGCAGAGGTCATGAAGTGACAAGGATCATCAAGGACAGAAGCTGAGGGAGTTTCTGTCACTGTCTCCAGCTGCAGACAACTTACAGATGCATCATGAGTTGGTTATGGGGCTTTGAGGAAATTTCTAATACAGGCACCCTACTAGAGTGAACAGAGGAGGTAGAAGGTCAAGGAGCTTTGAAATATCCCACAGGCAGAAATACCAAGAAGTGGAGGGGAGGTGATGAATTGAAGGGAAGCCCCGTTTGAGAGCACCATTTAAGAGACCTGGTACCAGATGAGATAAGGACACTTGCACACACTCCTAAGCCCAAATGTAAGTTTTATTTTCTGCCACTGTTGTTTCCTCTCCAGTCTCATGAACCAGGTTATTGGCATCAAGCAAATGTATAGAAGCTCTCCAAAAGACTTGTTAAACCCAAACAAGAACTTGCAACATATGAACCTAAGTTAAAATGGATAAGGTATGTGAGAGTTCATGTATTATGCTATTTACAGTACATTTCTTTCTTTCCAGGTAACTTTGAAAATGAATATGATGATGTCACAATCAAGATGATCTTTGCTATTGTTCAGATCATTGGATTTTTCAATTCTATTTGTAACCCTATTGTATATGCTTTTATGAATGAGAACTTCAAAAAAAATTTCCTCTCTGCAATCTGCTTTTGTAATGTCAAAGACAACCCATCTTCTTCTAAGCGGCATAGAAACTCAAGAATGACTGTGATGCAGCAAAAAGCAAGTTGTTTTCACAGAGAGCCTACTTCAGAGGAGCCTAAGAGGGAAGCTTTCAGTGATGGCAACATTGAAGTCAAATTCTGTGATCAGCCAGTTGCAAAAAGGAGTATGAAAAGGCACCTTGCTTTGTTTTCCTCTGAATTTGCTGTGCACTCTGCATTAGGAAATGGCCACTAAGATCATGAACAGTGGGTTTTTATTATACAAGAATCGCTTCTAATATTTGATATATTTGAATGAGCCATTTGTTTTTCTACCTTGCATGTTGATGTGAGAGAGAATATTATTGTCTGGTTTATAATGTTGAGCTATAGTTGCAAAACTGTAATATATTTTACAGGGATTGGAAATAAAACTTTGGAAAACTTGTTCCATTATGATTATTAAAAAATAGTTTCCTTTTATAAATGAAACTTTGAATTTTACCCCAAAAAGAAGCAAATTGGCTCTTCTTCTGTGCCCCTGATCTTACCAGTCGTGGGTTCATGCACTCCTGGATGTACAGTTTGCCTAAAGCTGACATTGTACATACTGTAGGTTGGTCATGGGTGTAGCATGGTCCAACTTAAAATTTCAGGGGACAGTGTTGAGATGTATCAGCTGTGTTGTGCTATTGAAGCATCATGGACATGTACACAGCTCTCTTCTTTTGCTATGTAGACAAAGGGCAAGCCAGAATTATGGCCCTTTAGGTATGATTGAAACATTGCATGCACACTAAGTTTTTATGTTCAAAAAAGTTAATTTGAAATCAGTAATATGCTTTTTTATATATGTGATTGACATGCTGTTTTCATAGGGTAACTCACAAAGTATAAATATAAGCAGTGCCAAATCAGCCTGGGAAGTGCACCCTTCCCATTGAAAAAATGTACAATGTCAAAAGTGTAGTAAACTCACCAATTCTATAAAGATGTTACAGAATGTGTTCCCTACAGTGTAAGTTGTTGATTTTTAAGGGCATGCTTTAGATGCATAGTTTATTAATTGAAACAATGCTACTGACTACAATGCTATTGACTCTTCTAGACTACAAAGAAGTTTGTGGCCTGATACAAAACCCACTAAAGTCAGTTGGGCACTTCCCATTGACTTTGGTGGGCTTTGGATCAGGTCTGTTCATTACAAGCATAATTAAAATCTTCTTTGTAAGGCTTTGCCCTCATTTCCAAAATTGATTCTTTTCTACCTAGGAATGGCTCAATACTCAATTCTTCATCGGGCTTTTGAGCAAATTACAAAGTTGAAGTTGAGCACAGCAAGAAGCTGAAGTAAGTAAAAAGGTGACTAGTGGAATTGTTACTGGAAGTGGGTCAAAACTAAAATCTCAAATTAGAACTTTTTCACATGTTGGATCTGGGAAGAAGCATCTTTCTCTTTTGCTCTGGTTTGCTTCAAAGTTGGATCTGGATCTCAGAGGAACTTATTTCCTGGTTTCAGGTGAGGTACATATGGAATCCTAGAAGTAATAGTAAAATCTCAGTGTCTGTGAATCTTGGCTTCATCCTTCATTTTCACTTTTTGACTAAAATTAGATGTAAGGGCCTTTTACGCCTCTCTGGGAGTGTAGTGAATCATTATCATTACCTGGATCAGCTTTTGTGACCCCTTTGTTCTTCTAGGTGTATTGCTTGTTTCCTGTCTCAGCACCACTCCCCTGCCTGCTTGTTGTATTCAGATCACTCTCTCCATTTGTGCTCTGCTCTGTGCATGTGCTTTCACAGCCTCCAGTAAAGTGAGCTTGGCCTCCCAGAAGCTTTTGCTACACACACACATCTGATGTAGTTAATTTATAAAATGCAAATCTTCTCTGCCTCCTGCTTGACTTTAGACTAACACAGCTAACTTCCTCTCTCTAGTTTACTTTACTCCCACTTTATACCTACGTTACACTACCAGAGTGTCACTAAGGTGCCTTAAATAAATATTAGTGATAATCCAGACTATTTTGTTTTGTAAATCTCAATTCATACTTCTCCATTTACATATCTCTAATATTTACTAGGGGTGCACCGATAAAGATTTTTTTTGGTCAATACCAGTGGCTGATTAGTAACCAGCCATATCAGCTGATACCTATCCGATAGCCAGTATGCAGCCCAGCAGCTTGGAAAGCAGTGTCCGGCAGGTAACTGAGGGGGAAGGGGCGTGGGGCGCAGATCAAGGCCACCACAGTGAGAGAGAGGGAGTGAGGCTGGGGCAGCTGGATCAGGGTGCAGGATGGAGCCATGGGCAGCTCATCCGGTGAGCATGGATGGGGTGGCCCCTGTCTCTTCTTCCACCCCTGGGGCAGGTATGGGGTACATGTGCCCCTGGATTGATGTGAGGGTAGGCTGCCTGCTGCGGGCTCAGGGCCAGGGGCTGTGCCAGCCTCTTCCTGGCAGGGAGGCTGGAATGGGGCTGAGCTTGGGGCAGGTGGTGGCAGTGCTGGAAGGAGGGGCTACAGCTACCCTAAAATTCACTGTAGCCAACCCATAGCCCCCCTCCCAGTGCCACCGCCGCCCACCCTGGCCCAGCTCCCCACTGGGAAGAGACTGGCACAGCCCCTGCCCCTGAGCCTGTGGCAGGCAGCCTGCCCTCACCCCACACACAAATCCAGGGGGGTACAGCCCCCCGTGCCTCCCCCTCAAGGAGAGTAAGCACAGGGCATGGAGCTGCCCCCTCACTACCCGGACGAGCCACCTGCGGCTCCATCCTGCACCCTACCCCGCCTCTGCTGGGGAGTGCCTGCCCCAGCCCCACTCCCTTCACCACAGGGGCCTCGATTTCCCTTCCCCCCCCGACTTACTAGTTAGACACTGCTCTCCAAGCTGCCAGGCTGTATTCCTGGCCACGTGCATGCTGTGGTTGTACGCATGCACACAACATTTGTCAGTGACATTGGCTACACCGGCCAAAAAAAGCTGATTGCGGATAACGCAAATTTTCCTTTTATCGGTGCTCATCCAATATGGACCAATATATTGGTGCATCTCTAATATTGACCCACATATGTATTCTCCCTTTTTAATCTTGAAAAATACAAAACAGTACTACAATACTGGTTTCACATAATGGTTATTTTAAACTCTGTTATTGTATAGGGTATTAACAAGCTAAAATGCAGTTTAAAGCTCATAGCTTGGTCATAAACAAAAAAGCAGGTTCAGAAAGTGATGAACTTATACCAGTGTATAGTTTGGATACAGTACCATTTTAGCCTTTAAAAAACTGCAAGAGGACAGCAAAATCTGGTTCATACACCTAGATAAATGCACTTGTTTGCAGTGGTAATTGTCATATTGAATGAAATAGTTTGAATGTTTGTAAAGATTGCCCATTATCCAGTTTCAGGAAGAAGATAGGATCTATCTCCTTATCTAGCTCATTGTTTTGGAGCTACGTGCGAAATGTCCTGACTTCGCCTAAAACCTTAATCTAAATTGTACCTTTAGAAATTTTTTACAAAGAAAGTAAATGTCCTAAATTCCGAGACATCAAAGCCTAAGGCCTTTTAACCAGACTGGTAAAAAGAAAAGAGTATTTACAGTGATACGGAAGTCTCCCCAAGAATAATTTAAAAAATGCTCAACAAAGGTAATTTCTGTTGAGTAAGATCCAAGCCCAAATTTGGGAGTTATGATGAATTGAGTAGGAGGAGCCCAATGACGGCAGCTCACTCAATAAAAACCTGTAACTTACTGTCCCAATTTGGAGGTGACTTCACTTGCAGAACAACGAAGGAAGAATCGCAAGTGTAAGGTCTGATTAGATTGATCGCCTAATCAAGCCTCTCCGTGAACACGAATCTCTTAGTTCACGCTGAAGCCACGGAGCGCCCGAAAGGGACTGAAGGAAGGGGACGTAGTCCTATCACTGGTGAGCCCAGCTCATTGAATCGTATTGCTGAGGCCAGCCCATTGAACCGTACTACTGAGGCCAACCCACTAAATCGTACTACTGAGGAATGAAACCATATTTTGGTATTTGGCTTCTCGGAATCCTAGGATTGTAAGTATATTATGAAAAATAACAGTATTGATTCAAATTTAACTTTTAGTTGTAATTGTAGTTGTTTTTGTAACACTAATTCTTATAGCATTGTTTGGGAAGGAAGTGCATTTGGAGCATTGTTTCTGATATATGTAATTATTGTGTTTTTAATGTTTGTGGTGTTTCTTAAAGCTAAGCAGTGTTATATACGTAGCAAAGAGTTTTAAAATAAAATTGTGTTGTATAAATTAAGTGTGTAATCATTGTGAAATCGTGCAGTCAGCTAACTACTCCCCCAGCCAGTGCATCAAAACGAATCAGTAAATTGTGTGGGATTTTCTCTATTCCATAACCCACTAGAGACAGTAATGAACATTTCTGGCAAACACTGGGAACAATTAAGCCTGTGGCTATTATATCTGCACCTTCCTTTGACTACATTGCATTAGCACATATACTTGGCAGGAGAGACCCTGGGTAGCTGTAAACATCTGTTTAGGCATCCTAATACCCTTTGAAACTGATTAAATTGATTTTGGTTGTCTGTAGAAGTAAGGTGCTAAGCACTAGAGACCAGAACCCAAAAGCTGTTGGTTTTCATGTTTCCCAGAGGGTAGGGGGAACTTTACCTTAAACTCTATGTTTATTTTGACTGGGGAACTTAATAAAGGAATTTATTTACATGAATTTGTTATCACATGTTAAAATTACCTAGGGAAAACTGTCTAGTCTGTGATGTGAAAAGTATCTCTCTGACAGACTCTGTAAAGGAAAGAAACCAAATAATTGAGAACTTTTAAACCTCTTCCTCCTCCTTTTTTAACGCTTGCACAGATAATTTCAGTGGCAAACTAATGGCAATACTGAAAGATGTTTTGTCAGATTTCCAAGTGAACACATCTGTTTCTCAAATTTTCATTTGTTTTTTTATTCTCCCTCATTACAAAACATTGCATTAAGAATGGAATACAAATGAAATTTTTAATTTTTTTACTAGGACAGGTCCACTGGAGCTTTGTTTACATCCCAGTTATTTGCTAGAAAAATCTTTCTTCCTCAGTTGCTTCATGTTAAAAATTCTCAACATCATCTGGTTTGACTTTCCCCAAGGCAGAAGTTACAGCCCTGTTAAAAGAACCAGCTGTTGTTATTCTTATGGATGGGATTTGAATGAGATCCTGAATATGATGATAAGCAGGAAATCACAAGCTTTAATGACTGTAGAGACTTGTTAGACATTGCAGTACATGGGTCCATAGTTAACAAATTTAGATTAAGTTTAACACACATT